ATACCAAAACCTAGCAAAGACATTGCCAAAAAATAAAACTACAGACCAATGTTTTTGTCATGAACATAGACAAAAAAATAGCAAAATGTTAACAGATTGAATCCACCAGTATATAAAAAGGGTAATACACTATCATCAAGTGGGATTTATCCCAGGAATGCAAGTTTGGTTTAACATTTAAAAATCAATCAATGTAATTTACCACATTGTTAAGCAAATAAATGGTTTCAAAAACACATAATTCTCTCAATACATTTAGTAAATCACTTGGCAAATTCAACTCCCATTCATGATAAGAACTCTCATCCAAATAATAATAAAGGGAACTGCCTGAATCTAGTAATTTACCAAAAAACCTACAGTTAACACCACATTAATGGTGAGATACTGAGTGTTTTTCCCCTAAGATTAGGAACAAAGTAAGGTGTGTGTTTTCATGATTTCTGTTCAATATTGGAGGCCCTAGCTAGGACAATCAGATAAGGGAAATTAGTAAAAGTCATTTAGATTGGAAAGAAAGAAGTAAAGATATCTCGCTTTGTAGATTACGTGATTATTTAAGTAGAAAGTATTAAGGAATCTATAAACAACTAGTAGCAACAACACTTGAATTTAGCATGTCGATATATTGAAAATAATATTATACTGGCAGCAAACAAATGGAAAGTGAAACTTAGAAAACAGTGTCATTTTAAAAACATGCAAAAAACCCCCAAACAAAATAGGAATAAATTTAGCAAAGTGTATGCAAGATCTCTATATTGAAAATCACGAAAAACTTTCTGAATATAGTGGTCCACTGTGTTCATAAAGCAGAAAAACCAATATTGTTCAGTGACAATTCTGCTCAGTCTGTGCAATCTTGAACAATATTCCAACAGACTTTTTCATAAAAGTTGATTTTAAAATGCATATGAAAATAAGACCTAAGATACTTAAGACAATCTTAAGACAGAAAATTTAGGTGGGAGGACTCACTTTACCTGATTTTAAAACTTTCTGGAAAGCCATAGCAATCAATAAATATAAGAATAGATCAATGGAGTGTATTAAACAGTCCAGAAGTAGACCCACACATGTACAGCCAATTGGTGCCAACAAGGCCACCAAAGCAATTCAATGGGAGAAAAATACTTTCATAAATGGTGCTGGCAACCTGGATAAATGAACGGGGGTGAAAAGGAACTTCATACTCTACTTCATATCACTCAAAAATCAAGTTTAGATGGATCCCCGACCTCAATAGAAAAGGTAGAACTATAAAGCTTCTATAAGACGTTACAGAACGGTATGATTGTGATCTTGGGGTAGGCAGATTTTTTTTCTATCGTTTTTTGAGATGGAGTTTCGCTCATGTCCAGGCTGGAGTGCAATGGCACGACCCTGGCTCACTGCAACCTGCACCTCCTGGGTTCAAGTGATTCTCCTGTCTCAGCCTCCCAAGTAGCTGGGATTACAGGCATGCGCCACCATGCCTGGCTAATTTTGTATTTTTAGTAGAGATGGGTTTCGCCATGTTGGTCAGTCTGGTCTTAAACACCCGACCTCAGGTGATCCATCCACTTCAGCCTCCCAAAGTGCTGGGATTACAGGTGTGAGCCCCCACACCCGGCCTGGCAGAGATTTTTAAGAACAGATACAGGAACACCATAAATGAAAAATTTGATAAATTCGGGTTCATAAAAATAAAAGTTTCTGACCGGGCACAGTGACTCATGCCTGTAATCCCAGCACTTTGGGAGGCCGAGGTGGGCGGATCAACTGAGGTTGGGAGTTCGCAACCAGTCTGACCAACATGGAGAAACCCCATCTCTACTAAAAATACAAAAGTAGCCAGGTCTGGTGGTGCATGCCTGTAATGCCAGCTACTCGGGAGGCTGAGGCAGGAGAATCGCTTGAACCCAGGAGACAGAGTTTGTGGTGAGCTGAGATCGTGCCATTGCACTGCAGCCTGGGCAACAAGAGCAAAACTCCATCTGAAACAAAAAAATAAAAATAAAAATAATAAAAATAAAAGTTTCTGTTTATCAAAACATCTGCAGATATGTATAATAGACTTTATATATGTATATATATTTATATTACATACATATATATATGTGTGTGTTTAGATACATATATATGAAAGAATATGTAAAGTATTCCCAATACCAGTGTGATCTCATCCTATGGTATGATTTTTTTTCTTATTGGGATGCTTTTATCTCAAATAATTCACTTTTTTAAGAGTTGTTTTATTCTGCCATACTTCTGCTCATGAAGGAAATGAAGTAGCAAGCCACAGAATGGTAGAAGATGTTTAGAATGTACGTGTCTGGCAAAGGACTTGTATCTAGAATATATAAAGAACTCCTACAAATCAAAAAAAGATAAACAACTTGCCTTTTAGAAGTGGGCCAAAGATTTGAATAGATACTCCACAAAAGAAGATATGTCACTGGCCAGTAAACCTGTGAAACTTGTTCAGTCTCATTAAATATCAGACAAAATAAATTTAAAACACAATAAGGTACTGTGCTACACCCACTAGAACGGGTAAGATGAAAAAGACAACAACCAAATGTGAGAAAGGATGTGGAGGAACGGGAATTCTCAAATGGAGTGTGCAAAATCAAACAACCACTATGGGAAACTTTTTGACAGTTTCTTATTAAGTTAGACATACACTTACCCCGTGACCCAACAAATTAACTCCTGGGTATTTCCTCAAAGAAAAGATCTACTTCTCAATCTGTCTATCCATCCATCCATTCATCATCTATCTATCTCCACAAAAAGACTTAAATAAAAATTTCTTGCAGCAATTTATTCATAATTCCTGAAAACTGGAAACATTTCAAATTTTATTTTTCTTTTCTTTTTCCTTTCTTTTTCTTTTCTCTCTCTCTCTTTTTTTTTTTTTTTTTTTTGAGACAAAGTCTCACTCTGTCACCCAGGCTGGAGTGCAGTGGCGTAATTTTGGCTCACTGCAACCTCCACCTCCTGGGTACGAGCGATTCTCATGCCTCAGCCTCCCAAGTAGCTGGGCGTACAGGTGCACACCACCACACCCAGCCTTTTTTTTTTTTTTAATTATTTTTATTTTTAGTAGAGAGGGGGTTTTGCCATGTTGGCCAGGCTGGTCTCAAACTCCTGGCTTCAGGTGATCTGCTGAAGCTTCCCAAAGTTCTGGGATTCCAGGTGTGAGCCACCATGCCTGACCTCAAATTTTCATCAACAGGAGAACAGAGTAGCAATTTGTGGTTTATCCATCCATTAGAATGATATTCAGCGATTTTAAAAATAGAATGACTGCTATACAACATATTGCATCTAAGAACCATTGAGGGAAGCAGTTATTAACAAAAGCATAATATATTTGATTACATTTATATGAAGCTCAAGAACAGATAAAATTAATAAATGGTGACATGCATCAGAAGAGTTTGCCTATTGGGGGTATGGATGGACTACAAGGGGCACAAAAGAACTTTCTGAGGTAATAGAAATATAATAAACATTATACCAGTATATATATTTATCAAAACTCAAAGAAGTATATACCTAAGAACTGTGCATTTCAATCTTAAGTAAATTTTACTACAATAAAAATACTGGCTGGGCACAGTGACTCACGCTTGTGATCCCAGCACTTTGGGAGGCCAAAGCAGGCAGATTACTTGAGGCCAGGAGTTTGAGACCAGCCTGGCCAACATGATGAAACCTCATCTCTACTAAAAATACAATAATTAGCTGGGTGTGGTGGTAGGTGCGTGTAATCCCAGCTGCTTGGGAGGCTGAGGCAGGAGAATCTCTCGAATCTGGGAGGTAGAGGTTGCAGTGAACCAAGATCATTGCCGCTGCACTCCAGCATGGGTGACAAAGTGAGACCCTGTTTCAAAAAAAAAAATGTATATAATAATCTTAACAAAAAATATAAAGTCTAATGGTTTAAATACTCATTGTTCTCAGTGGGATGTTTTGATCTCAAATGAACAGTGTGGGTTGTTTTTCACTTATGTTATTCTGTTTAGAAAAGCAATGGATGTGTATATTATCTGCTTCTGCTGACATAACAAAATACCATAGGCTGGGTGGGTTAAACAACAGATACTTATTTCTCACAGTTCTGGAGGCTGGGAAGTCCAAGGTCAGGGTGTCAGCTCTGCCTGGTTCTGGTGAGGGCCCTCTCCTAGTTTGCAGATGGCTGCCTTTTACCTTTGCTTTCACATAGTGCAGGGAAAGCAAGCTCTCTGGCATCCTTTCTTATAAGGGCTGTGCTTCCATTGCGTGGGGCACACCCTAATGACCCCACTAACCATAATTACCTCCCAAAGGGCTCAATTCCAAAGCATCATATTCAGCATTATCTTCAACATATAAGTTTGGTGAGGTGGGGGGCAGGCCAGTCCATAATAATAAGCATTCTAAAAAATTTGAAAAATATAAGTAAGTGGAAAGAAAAAGAAAAAAAGGCATGTACTTGGATTACCAAAATATAATCACTGTTAACACTTTGATTTCTTTTATTTCCAAAGTTTTGTTCTTTCAACTTGTACATCTTTTTAGTCATTTGGTTCCTATAATTTTGAATCATTATCTTTTAAATTTGTCATTAAAACATGAAATTGTTTCTGTTACCAAAATCCCTCCTTCAAGACACCTTTAAAAATAGCCACAAAAGGTTCATTGAGTAACTGTGCTGTAGTTGACTTATTCGTTAAACTGTGGTTGAATGTTGAGATACTTCCCAGTATTTTGCTAGTGTAAATAACCTGTGATTAACATATTTGTGCATGAAGCTTTTTCTGTAACTTAGAATCTTTCTTTGCAATGTAATTCCAGAAAATGGAAACTGTAGGCTAAAAAGCTATCCTCCTAATACATGTAGCCAAATTCCTTTCCAGAAGGATGTCCTAATTTACACTGCCACCTGCAGTGGGGCAGGAAAGTGCTGTATCTGTTTGCTTTTAAGGGGGTGGAGGTCGTTTCCACTTATGTATTTGTTGGCTTATTTCCAGCAGGTAAACAAAGGCAGCTAAAGCTGACTGCTGGTTGTGCAAAATCCCCCTGGCTCTTCTGGCGGAAGTCCTACCACTCCCTGTACCTGGCAGCAGCCTGTCCTCTGGGCCTCACCTACACACGTCCGGGTAGGAGCCAGTCATCTCCATCCATCCACAGCCATGAATTTCCTCCGGCGACGTCTCTCTGACAGCAGCTTCGTGACCAACCTGCCTAATGGCTATATGACGGACCTGCAGCGCCCAGATAGCTCCACCAGCTCACCTGCTTCCCCGGCCATGGAGAGGAGGCACCCCCAGCCCCTGGCTGCCTCCTTCTCCTCTCCAGGATCCAGCCTTTTTAGCTCCCTCTCCAGTGCCATGAAGCAGGCCCCTCAGGCCACCTCAGGACTGATGGAGCCTCCAGGTCCCTCCACGCCCATTGTTCAAAGACCCAGGATCCTGTTGGTGATCGATGATGCCCATACAGACTGGTAAGCAGGAATTTGCAAGTTCTACTGCCTTCTGGGGCAAGAGAGGAGTGGGGATTATCTCATCTCTTGGGGAAATAGAAGGGGAGTGCTATGAGAGGCTCAGGTGCTATCAGAGCCTGGCTGGAGAGAAGGAAACTAACATGTACCAAGTGGCTGCTGCATGCTAGGCCCACAGCACCTACTCAGTGCCACTTTCTCTTCTAACAGCTTTATATTTACGGGTCCACAGTCTCTCGCCTGCAAATCCCAAATCCAACACACTCTGGAAACTAGAAAATATTTTGCAATTCTTTTGGTAGCAAAGCCTAATCTGCAGGAAAGTGAGGCTGTAATTATACTAAGTGTGTTTGTTCATATGATTTGCTGCAAGCATCTGAATGTGTTTGATATGGAGCATAGTTCAGAGCCTGCTAGAAGTGTTGTATAAAATATGGTATATTCACCATATTACCTTCCTAAAAATGGAAAACTTTTAAAATCTGAAATACATCTGGTGGTACTTGCCAGATTATCCTGTCAGCCTCAGCCACCCTCCTTCCATAAAATGAGCTTATGAGGATAAAAGAAAGCAATACAAGTCCACAGTCCTTATCCCAGACCCTTGGGATCAGAGTGCCTGAGTGTACATCTCAGCTCTTCCAGATACTGGCAGTCTGGCTCCAGAGCCTGTCTTCTGAACACCAAAGGTGGGCAGAAGTGACCGCTGCCAGCCTCTTCTCAGGCAGTGCCCCCTAGCTGGTAAGTTCCCCAGTGGCAGAGACCTGACACCTGTGTCAAGATCACTGTAGCAGTGATTCACCAGGTAGTTTACTGAGCACTGATTCAGTGCCAGGCATGGCTGAGATGCATGGGTATAGTGGGGAACAGGCTCCTGCTTATGTGGAGCTGCATTTGGAGAGTAAGTCTCTATCCCAGCTGTTAGGTACTCAGAGGTGATAAATGTTATCAGTCTAGCTGGAGACATAGAAATTGCAGTTCAGGCCGGGTGCGGTGGCTCACGCCTGTAATCCCAGCATTTTGGGAGGCCGAGGTGGGCGGATCATGAGGTCAGGAGATCGAGACCATCCTGGCTAACATGGTGAAACCCCGTCTCTACTAAAAATACAAAAAATTAGCCAGGCATGGTGGTGGGCGCTTGTAGTCCCAGCTACTGGGGAGGCTGAGGCAGGAGAATGGTGTGAACCCGGGAGGCAGAGCTTGCAGTGAGCCGAGATTGCGCCACTGCACTCCAGCCCGGGAGACAGCGAGACTCTGTCTCAAAAAAAAGAAATTGCAGATCAGGGGGTAAGCCCAAACATGGAGATGGAAGCATTGCATCCAGAGCAGAGGAATACATGGATGGGAACCAGAAATGTCTGACAGTGGACACGTGCATGGCCTTTGGGATGGAGAACAGGGTTGCGTGTGCATGTCTCCAAAGGTGACCACGTAGTAGGTGTATTAGTCTGTTCTCATACTGCCTAAAGAACTGCCTGAGACTGGGTAATTAATAAAGGAAAGTGGTTTAATTGACTCACAGTTCCACATGGCTGGGGAGGCCTCACGAAACTTACAATCATAGTGGAAGGCACCTCTTCACAGGGTGGCAGAAGAGAGAATGAATGAGTGCCAAGCAAAGGGGGAAGCCCCTTATGAAATGATCAGCTCTTGTGAGAACTCACTCACTGCCATGAGAACACCAACATGGGGGTAACCGCTCCCGGGATTCAAATTACCTCCCTCTGGATCCCTTCCATCACACATGGGGATTATGGGAACTACAATTCAAGATGAAATTTGGGTGGGTACACAGCCAAACCATATCATTCCACCCCGGCCACTCCCAAATCTCACATTTCAAAACGCAATCATGCCTTCCTAACAGTTCCCCAAAGTCTTATTCCAGCATTAACCCAAAAGTCCAAGTCCAAAATCTCACCTGAGACAAGGCAAATCCCTTCCTCTTAGAAGCCTGTAAAATCAAAAGCAAGTTAGTTACTTCCTAGATCCAATGGAGGTATAGGCATTGGGTAAATAAACGCATTCCAAATGGGAGAAATTGGCCAAATCAAAGGGGCTACAGGCCCCATGCAAATCTGAAATCTAGTGAGGCAGTAATTAAATCCTAAAGCTCTGAAATAATCTCCATTGACTCCATGTCTCACATCCACGTAATACTGACACAAGAGGTGGGCTCCCTCGACCTTGGATAGTTCCATCCCTATAGCTTTGCAGGGTACAGCTCCCACTCCCAGCTGCTTTCACAGGCTGGCATTGCGTGTCTTTTCCAGGCTCACAGTGTGAGCTGTCAGTGGATATACGATTCTGGGGTCTGGAGTACAGTGGCCCTCTTCTCACAGCTCCACTAGGCAGTGCCCTAGTAGGGACTCTGTGTGAGGGCTCCAACCCCACATTTCCCTTCCCCACTGCCCTACCAGAGGTTCTCAATGAGGGCCCCACCGCTGCAGCAAACTTCTGGCTGGACACTCAAGTGTTTCCATATATCCTCTGAAATCTAGGCAGAGGTTCCCAAACCTGAGTACTTGATTTCTATGCATCTGCAGGGCCAGCACCACGTGGAAGCTGCCAAGGCTTGGGGCTTGTACCCTCTGAAGCAACAGCCTCAGCTGTACCTTGACCTCTTTTAGCCAAGCTGAAGTGGCTGGGACATAGGCACCAAGTCTTGAGACTGCACACAGGAGCGGGGGCCCTGGACCCAGCTCATGAAACCATTCTTCCCTCCTAGACCTTCTGGCATGTGATTGGAGGGGCTGCCTGCAAGGTCTCTGACATGCCCTAGAGACATTTTCCCCATTGTCTTGGTGATAAACATTTGGCTCCTTGTTACTTCTGCAAATTTCTGCAGTGGGCTTGAATTTCTTCCCAGCAAATGGATTTTTCTTTTCTATCACATTGTCAGGCTGCAGGTTTTTCAAACTTTATGCTCTGCTTCCTCTTGAATGTTTTGCTGCTTAGAAATTTCTTCTGCCAGATACCCTAAATCATCTCTCTCAAGTTCAAAGTTCCACAGATCTCTAGGGCAGGGGCAAAATGCTGCCAGTCTCTTTGCATAGCAAGAGCTACCTTTACTCCAGTTCCCAACAAGTTTTTCATCTCCATCTGAGACCACCTCAACCTGGACTTCATTATCCATATCACTATCAGAATTTTGGTCAAAACCATTCAACAAGTCTCTAGGAAGTTTCAAACTTTCCCATGTCTGCCTGTCTTCTGAGCCCTCCAAGCCTCTAGAAAGTTCCAAACTTTCCCATATTTTCCTGTCTTTTTCTGAGCCCTCCAAACTGTTCCAGCCTCTACCTGTCATCCAGTTCCAAAGTCAGTTACACATTTTTGGGTATCTTTACAGAAGCATCCCACTCTCTGGGGTACCAATTTGCTTTATTAGTCCATTCTCACACTGCTATAAATAACTACCTGAGAGTGGGTAATTTATAAAGGAAAACAGGTTTAATTGACTCACAGTTCCACATGGCTGGGGAGGCCTCAGGAAACTTACAATCATGGTAGAAGCCACCTCTTCACAGGGCAGCAGGAGAGAGAATGAATGAGTGCCAAGTGAAGGGGAAAGCCCCTTATAAAACCATCAGCTCTTGTGAGAACTCATTGTCACAAGAGCAGCAGCTTGGGGGTGACTGCCTCCATGATTCAGTTACCTCCCACTGAGTCCCTCCCACAACACATGGAGATTATGGGAACTACAATTTAAGATGAGATTTGGGTGGGTACACAGTCAAACTGTATCAGTAGGTACCAAGTAGCATGTATTAAGTGAATAAATGAATGTATCCCATTCATTAAATGTGCCAGATGCTCTGTTAGTCCAATGTGTATGTATATACGCACATTCACTCCTTGAGACATTAACAGGTTGGGAATGATTAAACCTATGCCTCGCTATTTATAGTTTTGTGTTTTTGGGTTTTTTTTGAGATGGAGTCTCGCTCTGTTGTCCAGGCTGGAGTGCAGTTTCACGATCTCAGCTTACTGCAACCTCCACCTCCCAGGTTCAAGTGATTCTCCTGCCTCAGCCTCCCGACTAGCTGGGACTACAGGCAGCCACCACCACGCCCGGGTAATTTTTTTGTATTTTTAGTAGAGACGAGGTTTCACCATGTTAGCCAGGAGGGTCTTGATCTCCTGACCTCGTGATCCGCCCATCTCGGCCTCCCAAAGTGCTGGGATTACATGCGTGAGCCACTGCACCTGGTGCTCTTTATAGTTTTTAATGCATACTCTATATAAAGTCAACATTAAAGTATGTTCAGCAGATTCAGACGTCAGTCTCCACTTTCCTGCTCAGAAATTGCTTCTTCTTAACTGGAGTGGTCGTGTGAATCACCTGTGTTCCAATCCCATGTGAATCATCTTAGGTGTTGCTGCTTGCTTAAGGGCATTTATCATGAAACTTTGTTTGTCTCTGCTTATGTGTTTATGTAAAGCATCACTATTAGGCTCTGAGCTTAGGGGTTGATATCTGCCGGGGTGTTGCTTTTAGGCCCTCTGCCCTGAACAATGCCTATCTGCTTGGTAGTCAGAATGCCTACATGGCCCTTGAAGTTTTCTATCTCTCTTGAACCCAACATTTGACTTTGATTTTGAGTGTTCTCTGCTGGCTGTGTTATCCCTGGCTCAGCTGTTTGTCAGGGAAGTTACATCTTTGCGTGGAGGTTGATCTTAATAAATGGCAGTCCGGTGCAGTGGTTAAGAATACAGACATCAGAGCTAGGCTATCTGGGTTCAAATTCCATCTCTACTCTGAAGTAACTATATAACCTTTGTAAGTTACTGCACCTAAATGGGCATAATGATAGTACCTATGTCGTAGAGTTAATATATGTAAGTGGAGTTAAGATCTGAGTTAGTGTAACAGTGCATAGGATGTGCCTGGTAGACAGTAAGTACTGCATAAGTGTGTATTATTATTGCAGACTATCATGATCCTTCCTGTGCAACATTAATCATCTTAACAGTAGCCCCTTGTAGGCATGCCTGTTTAATTT